AAAAGCGTGGACCGTAGCGTTCGACCCTTCTGGAAAACTACCCTTCTCCTTATTCAGTACTCTCCGAATCGCTTCCGAAGTTTCTTCTTTATACGGAATGCCCACTGTCGCTATCCACTCTGTGGTTGGTGTTGCGCGTGGGTGTAGACATTTCTGTCGCTGTCGTTTCACCAATCGTTTCGGATATCCGCTAGCTATTAGGTTTTTCATCGCCTCCCTCTGCGCTGCTTTCTTATCTTCTTCCTCCGTGCACAGAGCACTTGCTCTGTGAAATAGTGATGAGGCGATTCCTGCGTACACGTGCTTCGGATGGCTTGAACTATAGCTAAGTACCCCATCTGTGTCCACTGGTTTGCGATACATTGTCGTTTTTAGCGTCCCTTCCTTCCTATGTACCAGACAAACAAGGAACGGAAGTGTACCGCTGTGCGACTCAAGTTCTATGGTGAACTTTATCGCATCGTCAATGGAGTTCAAATATTTTAAAAATTCCTCTTTTCTATCTCTTTTTATAATCGCAAAAGTGTCATCCACGTAGCGCCACCATACTTTTAGAGCACCACGGAAATTTGGTAATGCTTTCTTTTCAAACTCTTTTATGTACATATTGACTAATACGTGGGATATTGGAGATCCCATGACTAGTCCCTGTACTTGAGTGTACATTCTAGACTGTAATATGAAATAAGTCATGTCGAGACACAAAGCTATCACCTCGACCAGTTGATCCACTGTCAGCTTTGTTCTGTCTTCTAAACTGCTGTCCTCTACCAAGCAGTTTTTCGCTAATCGTAACGCCTCCTCCTCAGGTACATTCGTGAACAAGGAGGTAACATCGAAACTGACCATCAATTCATCTTGTTCGATGCTCACCCCGCGTACCATTCCTGCAAACTCATAAAAGTTCTTTACAAATGTGTTCGTTCTCCCTGTTAGGGGTTGCAGCAGGCTCGCCAGATATCTCGCGAGTTCATGTGTAGGAGAGCCTATGCCATCCACTACAGGTCGCAAGGAGACATTGGGCTTGTGTATCTTTGGGAGACAGTAAATTCTAGGTGGAATAGCCGACTTCAGATAAATGCTGTACCATTTGCCCTCACCTAAACTGTCCTTCACGGTCCTTAGGTAACTGGCGACATCTGATTTCTTCTTATTCATTACCGATGTAATGGATTTCTGACCAACCTCTTTGTATGGTCCCGTGGTCAAATGCTCCTTCATGGGTTCTAAATAATCTGTTTTATTCATTACCACTGTTACTTTACCTTTAACCGCTCTTGTAATGACAATACTAGTATCCTCTTTCAAGCTCTTTAACGCTGTGTTCAGCTGGAACAAGATTCGATTCTACCGGCTGTTGAGAGCTAAGTATATTTGCTAATTGGGCGCGGATGTCCTCAGCCTTTTCAAGTGGTAATCTAGTCATAACGGGTTCCACTCCAGGAATTACATTTTCTGCCCTTAGTTTAGAATTGCTGATAGTAAAATTCAGACCCTTTTCGAGAACGCTACGCTCTGTTACACTTAACACTCTATCTGACATGTTAACAACTGTACAATAGTTGCTATTAGATACTTGCTTATCAGTACGACTATCGACCTTATTATGTGCAGTCACCAAGTGTTCAAACTTAGGTATTTGCCTTTCCTTCGACTCCCGTCCTCTTGCTGCCTTAACTTCGAAGGCCTTATTGCAAAGTCTGTCATAATCAGTCAGTGCCACCGCAGTCTGTAAATCCAAAAGCAGCTGACTCGCATGGATGCGGATTTCACCCAGACGTCTAGTTGTTAGGTAGATTCTTTGTCTCAGAAATGCTTTGCCTGCTCTGAATGCTATTCGTGCCGAGGTGTACGAAGAATCCGGAGGTTTAACTGTGAGGGATTTGGGAATAATGTTGCTCTTGAGACACCTGTTGTTAAAAATCCGATGGTTTTCCCAATTGGCTTCGATGCCTGCTAGGCGCACAAATTCACTCGCCAATTTGCGAACACGAGGTCCGTATTAGTATTCAATATCTTGGAACATAGTTGGAACCGATCGGGAAGTCATGATTTCAGAAAATTTGGCAGACGACCGGTTAATGTATTTATGGTAATAGACAACGTTTCGCTTTTGACATAAAAGCTTCATCAGGTGTTTTTCCAAGGAACTAGCCGGGTTATCACTGCCTAGTACTCGCCAATGTACATCGTCGTTGCGAGCACGCTGGTGCTATCCGATATCAGCAATGCTTCGCAGACAACGATGATCAAAGACTTGAAGGCGTCTCGGATGTTCAGACCAAAGGGGCTCTCACTCCCATACAGCAGAACCGCCCACACTGTGGCCTTGTAAACATGGCCTTTCAGACTGAGGGAAACTCCCTTCCGTCGCCAAAGATGCCGCAGGTTCAAGAAGACAGATCTGGCTCTTGCAATGGGAGAACTGACGTCAATTTTTATGCGCTCATCGTTGCTGATGTAGCTGCCAAGGTACGTGAACTGAACAACCACCTCGAGTTCCTCGTTAGCAAGGGTCAAAGAGCTGTTGGTCTTGCAGCAACACTTTGCACTTTGAAGGTGCGGAGCGCATACCAAAAAATGGGATCATACTAGGGGTTATTTGGGGTTAATAGTACCACCGCATCATCATTAAACAGCAGGACTATATCGTCCGCGTAAGCAAGATAAACAAGTTTTCACCCAAGATGTACCTAGACGCCTACATCGTGAGATTCCGTAAGGGAACACTTACTGATGGAGTCCACGATGAAAGTGAACAAAAACGGGGAAATCGGGCAATCCTGACGAAAACCACTTGCTGTCGGAAAGCAAGCCGACAGGTCACCGTGGACGCTGACGCGGCCTGTAGTGTTCGAGTATAGAGCATGTAAGATGTTCACGTATTTCGTGGGAACACTTTTCTGCGCAAGTATTTCGAACAGAATGCATCGATCGAATCGAACGCACTCCTGAAGTCAAGGAACCAAGCTACTGTCGGCCTGCGATACGTGTGGTTCTGCTCTAGCACCTGACACAAAGTGATTATATGGTCTATATAGTCACGCCCAGGGCGAAAATCTGCCTGCACTTCCCTAATCCGTGATTATAACTCCACAGTGAGACGACGAACGAGAATCGAGGCCAGTTATTTTGTCACAGCTGGCGTTAGGCTAATACCCCTGTGGTAAGAACAATCTGTGCAACTGCCCTTCTTGTATATTGCCACTATACTCGATTCACTTCAGTTAGCCGGGACATTCTCTTCCTTCCAGATATGTTCGAATAGGGAGGTCAGTGTTTGCAGAGGACCTCACCTCCATTCTTAAATAGTGCAGGTGGGAGGAAATCCGGGCCAGTAGCGCGAAAACGATTGAGGGCAGTGATGGCGTTTCGGATCTCAGCCTCCGATGAAGTCTCTAAGCTAAGCAGCTATGGCTCCTCCAGCATCACCTGAGTAAAAAGAGGTCCGGGAGAAGATGGGAAACTGAGTTGATCTTGAAAGTGTAAGGCCCAACGAGCCATACGGTGCTCCTTATTGTGTATCAGTGCACCCGCGCTGTCTCGGATTGTCTCACTGACGCCTGGTTTTCTGGGACGAGTGGTGCGGATTAGCTGGAAGAGCTTGCGGTAATTGCCTATTGCTCCCGCCTCCTCCATTTCTTGAGCCCCACTGGTCCACCAGGCTTCCTTGTCATCACGCAAACTCCGCTTTAGTTCGCGTCTGATAGCCCCTCTGGTCACACTGTGCTCAGAGACAGTCGGAAATTTTGTTCTGGATTCCAACAGGCTCAATGACCTCTCGAATATCCAGTCTGGTGCCGTGACGATTGATAGTTCCAGAAGCAGATGCTCCTGCGACGTGTATGGCGGCCGAGATCCTATTCCCCTGAAGCTTAGTGTCATTAGGATAAGAGAGCGGAAGTTCGGTATACAGTGCGTCTTGATAGGCTTGGTTGAGACATTTTCTCCGCTGGCAATTGGGGGAGACGTTTGGTGCGCTACCAGGTAAAGTTCACGGAGAAACGACAGCGTACCAAGGCATGGTCAAAGTCGACGCAGGTACTCCAGTACGAGCAGCAATACAGGATGAAACCAAGCCACCTGTAACTTATGGCAAAATGGTCAATTTGGGTCCAGCGCTGGCCAGCTACAGGAGGACGCCAAGGGGCACTTCGGCGCCCACTGTGTCTAAAAGCGGTGCTACTAAGAAACAACTAGCGCTTCGCACACAGTTGCAGCAGACGGTCGCCGTTGTTAGTCCGTTCGGAGTTGAGTCCATAATTACCAACTAGCTGAGCTTCTGAAAAGCTCATGCACCCTAATTGTGCGTTCAGATCCCCTGCAAGTACTATGACATCAAAACTAGTAGCACTGCGTGGTAGCGCGTTCAGTTCGTGATAGAATGTGTCCTTGACAGCATTAGAACCGCAGTCGATAGGAGTATAAGCGGAAATCACAAACGGCGTTTTGTACTACTTCGTACTCAAACTTAGCTGATGTCCTCAAACGGGCTGCACAAACGGCTGTTCACCGGAAACTAAACGCGGCAACAGCAAACGCTGTCACCAGCTAGGATTTGATGGACCGATTACTGCAGTAGTAGATAATATCACGTGCGTAGTACTGCGATGGTATAGCTTAGGTACGATTGAGTCAGGAGTTAAACAAAAAGCCCAAAATAACTACGCAAGGTGAGTTACCACCCAAACGAAAAAAGTGATACTAAACCAGTCAGCTTAGTATAGGCATTTTTCGTTCTACAATTAGACTTGGTGCCTGGTGTCGTATAGCACAGCTACAACATAAAAAGAACGTTAGATAAGATATGCCTGAAAGCAGCCTATCCTGCAGTAAAGATAGGATCAAGTTCTTGAGACAAACTGGACCACAGAAGATTACGAAGTAGAAAGGTCGCGCACCAGATAAATTCAAGATTTCGTGCATGAGATGAGAAATCACTCTAGTTAAGAGGTAGCGATACCAAGAACTGAACAATCATGGATGCGTACTGAGAAAGATCAGCATACCTTAACCATGTATTCCATTCGACTGTGGGCGTGACGCTCAATTATGGCCTCCACCCAAATCAATGGTTTTACCTGCGGAAAAAAGAGGAAAATTTGAACAACAGTGTATTGAAACAACTGGCAGGTTATCGACACTTAAGTGGCTACTGCTTAAGCACAAACACATACAGAAAACAAATATTTTTGAAGCTGTGGGCTTAGACGGCGGTATGACAGCTTGACGAGCATGTGCTCTGTAACGATACTAAAAACAGACAGCCAGAAAGTATACATCTGTGTTGCCCCGTCGAAATATTATAGGCTACAAATGTAAAATGTAAGGTTAGCCGTGCGGAGTCCTATTCAGGTGCGATGCCCTCTCGAAATCGGTAAATAGCAAGGTGTCTAGGAATTTCCTGGAATCCGGCAATGATTTTGGCTCGGACATTTTCTATGGTAAACTGTTCCAATATTTCTCCCCTTGACACTTGAAAAAAGGCACCAGCGGTACGCCGGTACGCAGTACCGACGTTGTGTTGCCGCGCAACCAGCACCAGTCGCGCGTGAGCTGAGAGTACTGCGAGGGTCACCCGGTCCCTACGCAGGCTCGAAGACGCATACACGGATTACCAGACAGGCTTGTAATCCTTAAGACTAGGGGCCGGTACGCTCGAGAAACAGAACGAACACCTTTCGGCTCCGGTACTAAGAGATTGTACCGGTTTTCGCGAGTGCTGCTTGTGCAGAAGCGACCTCAGTAAATTGAAGTCACCTAGATGTAATATCCGGTATGTCATTACCAAATCCATTTAAAAGCCACGATACGATACAAGTGTACAGCTCCAGTCCCCTATATCGGTCATCGTTCGTCACATTTCGTAAACGGGACACGTCCTAGAATCTGCAACTTGCCATAGGCAATCGGACAATAAACGAGTCATATTTGGGCGTCGGTCAGACCGTGGAAGAGAGAATGGCCAAGTGCGGAAGTTGCGTTTGATGGCCAAAAGCAGGTGCATTCCTTTTCCCTATAGCCTATTCGCAGCGCGAAAATATGCGTAGGTCTTCTACGGTAGGTGTGAAAAGCAGCATATAACCGGCCAGAGTGTGCAAATGTCCGAAACCACTTTTCCCCATGATCATAACTAACGAGTTGACTTGGTTGACATGCAAACCAATCACTTCAGAGAACTTAGACACGTGGTCGGCGCCATATTGAAGTACGTCGCAGCCGTTGGAAGCATCACTATACATAGCTTTAGGTTCTCTGCAAACAAGGCGTAAAGCAACCGCGAAAGCTGAAGTACTTATTTGATGTGGATCGGGAACAAAATAAGCCCCAGTAGTGTGCTTTGGAGTACGTTACTAGTAGAAGGATACCAGTTGGTTAGATGATCTTCTAGCTGTACCATTTGCCCAATAGGGAAGTTGCTGATCCACTAGTGCAGTGAGCCATCAACACCACAAATCTTCAGCTTGTGTACGAAGACCTCATGGTTCAGTTTGTCGAATGCTTGACTGAAATCGATGTCGAACACGTCGACGGACTTCCTATGGTTCAGTTCTTGCTACCATTTATGACGCATCAAGAGCAGATTCGTGATGTATGGGAGGCCTATGATAAACCGTGCCGTGCCGGCGTCAGATCATTCGATTCTAACAGCTGCAAAACACTTCTTCACGATCCTCTTAGGCACCTTGGTTTAAACGGAGATAAGACAAATGATATGACGATTGTCAACCTTTCTTGGGTCACTGCCTTGCGGAAACGGCCTCAGTATCGAGCATTTACAGTCGCTCAGCGATGCACCCTCGGACAAGGACCTGTCCAGTCAAAAAAGGCGAGATGATGGTTGATAGGAAGTTGAGAATATGGACCGGCAGACTTCGTAACGTCAAGATTAAGAAAATGACCTGCGGATGCATGGGAATGCAAATTTTGCACTGCAGAGCTAAAGAGTGAAATTGTTGCCTAAGGAAATAATTCCGAAGATCTTTACACGGGTTATAGGGTAGAACACGGCCTATAAACCTAACATCTTAGAATATAGGCCGCTGATCATTAGGCAAGCTTGAGAACGTCAAGATGGAGCTGAATTCAACTCTGATAGTCAACAAGAAACATGAAAACAGTTTCTAAAGGGTTCCAAAGGGCCAAGGATATTTATACCGGACAAAGAGATAGTGGTCGCGGGGAGCCTACATGAACGGCCGACATTTCGGAAGTGACGGATGAAAGACTATTGCGAGCAGTGCCACAAAAGGACCGCACTTATTTTATATATATATATATATATATATATATATATATATACATATTGTGCACTTATTACGTAGTAATGACAGATGGGGCCGCAGCGCTGCAAGAAGTGAACAAAGAAGGGAACAAAAAATAAAAAATAACCAAAGCTTTGTTAGAACAAACAAACAGTAAATGACTCGCTGCGTGATAGGAAGAAATCGAGTCGGAGAATGGAGAGGAAACCATATACAATACAAGTGAATGTGGGCGTGTAAATGAGGATAAATATATGGCAGATCAGAACCGAAATAACAAGAAAGATGATTCAAAGGAAAGATGAACCGCAAAAAGGCACTGGCGAGGTTAGACCTCATGGAATTTTCCAATGCCCATAACCCCGCACATCGTTATCAAATCTTATGGGATGCTTGGCGAGATATTAAATGAGTGCCAGTAATTTTAATTGGGAAGAAAACCATGTACTCGTGAGAAACAGCGTTTCGTCTGGACAAGACGTCATCAGAAGCATAACACAGGGTTCGAGGCTTTGGTACTCGATATCTACGGAAATGATTTATCCGAGGAAATTGAAGCACAATCACTATTACCTGCTCATTAGCTAGAGCCATTAAACATTAAGGGTATCTCAGAAATCTGAGAGACCTTAGTGCGCGTCGTATAGGCTCTGGGGTTTGCTTGCTATGTGGTCGTTCTCAGAATTGGGGCAGCTGAAACCAGCAAGAAGTGCGTCGCTAATGGGAGTAAAAAGCCACCTGCCACTTATCTGATTAGTTTTAGTATCGACCATCTGGCTAACATGCATAATGATGATGATGATGCCGCGTTGGCCGGTCTTCGAACACTAACTCCGGCGATAAATAGAAGGCTGCCTGCAGCGGGTCCCGTATATTGTGGCAATACTGCGATCGTTCGAGATTCTACAGGCTGATATGACCGCAAAATTGTTCACAGCTTTCGCGCGACGCCATTTGGAATTTCGTGTCCACGTCTGTTCGTACTGCCTTGTCCAGGACAAAATGGAGCAAGAGAAATTTTTGCGGATAAGTACTGAGCTAATGAACGGGTTAAGGAAATGGCGACTCCCTAATGAATGCTCACTTTTGGAATGCACTCAATTCACTATTGGATAATTCGAAAGGACTTGATTGCCGTTTACCATACTTGGACAGGAAAGAATGAATCGGACTTGGCTCGGGAAGTTAGTTTCACTAAGTTACCTGGCTCTACCTCCAATCTGAAAGTTGCACAAACTGCGTTGTGACCAAGTAAGGACGGAAACTAGCTTATTGCAGTTTTATGAAACGGTAGAATTCGTAGCCACAGCATGCCGTTAGACATTCTAAGGAGACACTTTCGGGTAGCAACCTTTGGTTGGTTTCCGAAAGCTCCCTCGTGTTTTAATATTTTCCCAACGACAAATGACATTAGTCCATCATATCGTCTGGCTTTATTCTTTGCTCATTCATACTTATGCAGAATATCTTAAGAGTCATCTGGAGAATTGATGCTGTAACCTACTATGACAACCTGACTGAGCTTAATGGTGGAACCAGATAGTACTTCCCGGCGGAATGGTCCCCTGAGTTTGTTGGTCAGTTTAACGAGCTAGTGGCAGACACATCAAAGGTCAAAATTTGCCGTCAGAAAGGTGAATCCCCTGATAAGGAGCAAGATTAGGAAATATATGGCCTACGGGGACTAAGCTTGGAGTGCCCATATAAAAATAACATCAGCAGTACGCTCTGCTGCCGCGCAACTACCACCAGTCGCGCGCGAACTGAGTACTGCGAGGATCGCCCGTTCTCCTGCGCAGGCTCGAACTCGAGACCACTGGACTACAATGCGGGCTTGTGATCCTTAAGGCCACGAGCTGGCGAGTATCCACATAGCTTCTCTTAACGAGGGCACCTGTGGTGTCCATACATTATAACGAAACGGACGCGTCAAAATGGTCCATGAGTATAGAGTAACGTACCAGAAAGATCTTGTGATAAGATTTTGCTTTAATTCCAAGCTAGATGATATACACGTAGCTAGGCGCAGAACCCATGACCTACATACAGCGCGCGGGCTAGCAAAAACAAGAGGAGACCAACGCTTTAGGAAAACAATTAATTTTCTTTAGTGAACCGTCATTTAACCACCTACTTACGAGGTCTAGCTACGTACCCTTCGCCGACACGAGTATACTGAAGCGACTGATATCACTGAGCGACCACAACTCTATTGATGCAGACTCTTACAATGTGAAAGCACGTGGTCATCAATGTAATGCATAAAAGTTGCAGTCTGCGGACCCTGCTAAGTACCATCAGGTAGCACTCCTTCCGATAGTCTCCAATATCACTGAGTACATGGTTAAGGTACTTAATGGGTGCCTGGAAAGCAGTAAAATTCTTACTTCGGAGCATCATGGATTTCGACGGAATCTGTTATGCACCACGAAATTGCCGACAGCCCGGTATGCCGGACGGAATATGTCGATACTGGGGTAGGAGTTGACGCTGCCTATTTGGATCATCGCATTCCACTTCATAAGCTCAGGAACTAAGAAAGCGCATATCGCGCTCGGAGTTAGATGGGTAACTTCCTCCTTTAAAGTCATCTGAATCGAAGGGTTCGTGGCACTTTGTCTCATAGAAGTGAAGTTTAGTGTGGTATACCTAAGACTAGGTACTCGTAAACCGTCTAAACTTGGTCCTCAAAAGCAATCTCAGATTTTCTATTCTTAGCTGATAAATGTTGCCTCGTCAATACAATGAAAGATAGGACAGCAGTGCAAAATGATATTGATAGAGCTTACGTGTGGCCAATCTAGAACTTGCTCCGC